TTTGAGAGTCCAGGTTATGGAGCATCAGGGAATCCTGGCTTACATCCCTTCTAGATGGAAAATGCCTTTAATGCTTTTTTAAAATTAATTTCTAGTTTAATTCCAATAGGATTAACAAAGGTTGTGAAAAAATTTAGGACTTTTTTAATATTGGGAATATCATGCTGCCATACATTTTCTCTTTCCATTTTTCTGTATTTAAAAAAATGAGAAGTTATTGAAAGGATAAGTATCATGGCTGAATCTTTGAATTGAAGCTGATCTTTGTCTCCTAATGTTTTCATGGGACACATAGGCTGAAGACTTGAAGAGACTTTCAGTTGTCTGGACCTGTTGCACTGCACAAGGCAACTGAAGATATATTTCAGGGTTAATGACTTCCTCTGCTTGAAAGAGAAAGAAAAACAACTCATGGATCAGAAAGTGGCCCCTCCAGGGAATAAAACAGGTTGGATAGTAGATACGTTTTCTGTTTCTTTTTACATTTTCCAGGGTGAATCTTAAGCAAGACACTCCTGGGATTCTGAGTGAAATACAGAGGGCAATGAATAGATAGCTAAGATGAAGAATTAGTCATAACTGAGTCTATTGTGGAACAAGAAAAGAAAGCAGTTGAAGAAAAATGAATGTTTTTCTTACAGGATCTGAAACATTTACTCATAATAGCATAGATTTACTTAGTTTGCTAATCCCTGTGACATTCTTGGTTATAAATAAGGCTGGAAATGCTGATGACATGTCCTTGCTTTTGTGTTTAAGGATATGCAGGCATATCATGTTTACTGTGCTTGCAAATCAACTAAAATGCTAAAAAGCACAGGAGGGATTCTTCCTGTTTTTAACTTATAGAGGAAGATAATATAACCAGCTCAATTTGGAAAGGAGTCTGAAGTTTTGAATCTTTTGCTCAGTGTCACACATATTGCTCTTGCTAAGAAGATAACTTAGAACATCTGAAACTTTTCATTATCTTTAATTAAGACTATAGTAATATATAGGACAATTTATTGGCTGTTTTTTTAATTAACTGACAAGCCAGTCCAACATCCCAGAGCAAATACTGATGTGCCTTCCAAAACTGAATGGCAGATGCTGTACTTGACTTTGTTTCTTGTTCTAAAAAGTAGGCTTTGCCAGCTAAGCTTTCTAATAGGAAATCCTGAACAACATTATTTTTGGCCGATACTATCTGTCAGTTATAGATCAACTGTGCTCTTTTCTCCTTCCTGAATTAAGTATTTTTGCAATTCTCCTACATCTTTAAAAAGATCCAACTAGGTGAAAACATATTTAAATAGATTCAAGTATTTGCGAGTCTTCTTTTCCAAAGCTCACGTGGTCGATGTAAAACAAAGTATTATTTACACTTCAATGGAAACAGAATACTAAGGAGAAAAAAAGCATTAAAAAACAAGTAATGTACACATTCCCAGTGGTTACCTAAGCAAGAATAGATAACGTTTTTCTTGTCAGTGTTACAAGGCATCTACAGACTAGATTATTTAAGCACAATACTACTGCTGGAAAGTAAGATAAGAAAGCATCTGCACTGGTTTAACAAAGAGCCAGCTGGGGTCCAAAGGATTACAACTATACAGAAAGAGAAAAGCAGAATATAGAATCTTGTAGAATCCTCCCAGCAGAGTTCATAAACATGTGACTACTGCACACAGCCATGATTAAACCATACTGTCCCTAAGCTGTCATGTCTGTGAGGTAGCACACAGTTCTGTGCACTACACCTTGAAAATACCTGCACCACTGGCTCACTTCTTTGGAGGCTGTCCTCCCTTTGAAATTCATTAGAGTTCCTTTGATGCTCCATGGGGCTGCTTTCTATCTATTTATTTATCTTGTCTCTTGACAAATCTCCAGCACCCACTGATGGATTTTCTGTAAACTAAATCCATTCTTTCAGGTAACAGGCATTCCACGGATAGCACCCATTACATCACTACAAGGTGGCTCCAGGTCCTCTCACCACCTACTGCTGCAGCTCTCTATCTCAGCTGCAACAGATAACCTCAGGTGACTCACAACATTTTCCATAACTCAGAAACAGAGCTGGGTGCCCATAGATGTAAATGGACTATGGAAGAGCCTTATCTGAAGGTTTCTGGCATCTGCCAACATTCCACGCACAGCAAAGTCTTCTTTTTTCCCCTGAGACACCATTATGAATGAAGAAAACTGTAAATCCTGTTTCTGCCTTCAGAGGAATATCAAGAGTCAACAAATTAAAAGACTCTTCCACTAAAGTAACAGTTTAAATTAGGCTATGGCTGGTAGAGAAGGAAATGTGCATATCTATTTATTCTGTCATCTAGAACTCTTACAGTACCTGGTAGCTAATTCACTGAAAATACTAAAGGGATTATAACAAAATAGTTACATTAAATTTCCAGGCAAACACGGGGTCTTGAAAGGATGAGAGGAAAGATAGTCTATTTTGTTTTGAACAAATGTGCAAAGCTTTGGTTCTGTAATGGGTACGCAATAAAGCAGATATTGTGTGTAGCATACATTCAAGAGAGATTAATGACCACATTAACCTTTTTAAAAATGATGGAACAGATATATCCCTTTGTGACTGGTGTGACAAATCAATAAAAGCATAGTAAAATAGAACAGGATCCATGTCTTCTGACCATCAAACAAACAAGTAAAATAATCAAAGATTTACACCATGAACACATGCATGTAGTATTTGACATCTCATCTAAGCAATGGAGAAGCACAATTAGAGAGATGATAATAAAATTTTCTAAAAAGTGCTTGAAAATTGTTCCAAAACTAATTTCAGCATCACAAACATTGGTGCCATTACCTTTAATAAAATGCACAGACACATCCAAATCAATTTCATGAAAGGTACTAAATTAAGAAACATTTTTCATCATGTTAGGAGTAGCCTTTTATGCTTGGCACTGTTTACATTAAGTCAAAGTAAGACTTGTAAAGTATACAAAGTAAGACAAAGTATAACACGAAAGAAACTGACCAGAAATAAAATGTTCATGAATATTTTTGCAATTGTCATAGAAGTCAATGCTTATCTGTAGTGTTGGTTTCATGATCTTTAAAAATGAGAAAGAATTCTTTATCTTTTAAAAGATAAATAAAGGTTATTTATCTTTTTTAGGTAAATAATATTATGCCCAGCTTGATGATAATATTTTTATTTTATGTAAGGAACCTTGGGAAAACAGAAAATTCATTAAATACCATGCATAAATCAATTTCTTTGAAAAAATCATGCCAGCCCAATATATATAACTCATAAAAAATCAGCTTATGAATATCACTGTCAAACCAAATGCTTAGAAAAGATGAAATCAGAAATGGCACTTCAGCTGTGTGTACACATTGCTACCTGCCATGAATAATGTTTCTGTCAGACAGACTCTAAAACAATCTGGTCAGGAGAGCAGCTGCGTGGTCTGTGCACCTTCACCTCTTTCACCTATGTTCTCACTTGGCCTCATTTCCACTGGACTGGACTTTCAGTCAGGGGAACTCAAATTTGTAAAGAAATCTCTTCATAGCTGAATTCTTGTGGACTGCATAGAATGAACCAACCTTGAAACCAAAGGTCTGAAAGGCCACAAGAATGCGAGTTATGTGCTGTGCCTGGGAGATGTTTCACTGAAATTTTGATGACTGAAAGTCAAATGTCTGATTGAGGGTGGTTGTCTTGGCTCTTCTTATAAAAAATAAAAGACACAATCACCTAGAAAATGTGATTCCCACTTCATGAGTGTTGACTCAGCCTTTTACACCAAGTCCCATTCTAAATGTCAATAAACAGGAATACATGTGAAGGACAGGTGTCGATTTGGGGAATTAAAGCAACATAAATGATTGTTTATTTATAAAAGAAGATGTAGTGGCTTGACCCTGGCTGAAGGCCAAACACCCAACAAAGCCTCTCTGTGACTCCCTTTTGCAAATGGACAGGGAGAGAAAATTTAACAAAAAGCTCATGAGTTAAGGACCACGAGACATCACTCACCTAATGCTATCACTGGTAAAACACTCAGCTTGGGCATATAAATGGAATTTATTACTAACAAAATCAGAGCGGCATAATGAGAAGCAACATAAGACCTCAAAAACACCTCTCGCTCAATCCCCTCTCCTTCCCAGCTCTTAAAGGAAAAATGAAAACCAAAACACCAAAACCAATGGTTTACATAGCAATGTATGTGGATTGGAACAGAACTGATTTTTCTTTGAAATTTTATAACAGTGTTGTTATACTGGAATGTTAAAACAATGAGTAAAATATTTTTACTATTTCTTGCAGAATTACACACTGAGTAGCAGTCTATGTGTAAAAGACCAGCACTGCATTTCACTACCTCTCCATTGCAATTAAATGTCACATAAAGGACCTCACAGGAGGTGATGAAAATAAGAAGAAACAGACTAAGTACCTGTACAGAATTGCATGAGCTATTCCCAACAAAAGGGCTATTTTCCACATTGCTTGATTCTGTTTTGTGTTCCACAAAACCTCTTTGAAAATTTCCAAAAGCTTCAACATATTTTTTATGTGTTTTAAAAAATAGTGTAAAGTGTCTTCTTTCTTATGTCCCTTTTGGGCTAAAAACAAACAGTACTGTAAAAAGCAATATGCTATTAAAACATAAAAAACTTTAGAAACTCCATCATAAACTTGCAGTTTCACTTAAGTGTACCCAAGCCAACATTTTATATCATAAGGGACTATCTATGATTCCTTTTTGCTGATGGTGTTGTCACTAAAATGTGCATTAGTATTGATCAGTTATTCTACCATGATCTTGCAGCTAAGTCAGCAGGTAGACCAGAGTGAAATGTACTTTTTCTGACAAAATCACAGATAAAAAGGAAATAATTGCTCATGTGAAATATAATATTTAAACCACTGTAAATATTTCCTAGCTCTTGGAAATAACTAATAAATATATTTGTATATGTATATTCCTTAAAAAGTTAGTGAATAGCAATTTGCAAACTGTCAAAACTATTATGCACATCATATGTTGGGAAAAAATTAAAGATGTACCATATTTTGTGCATTCATTTTATGTTAGCTGATTACTTTCAAATTCTTTAATTACAGTTTCTCTAAATTAAATAATTTCACAAATTTTAGATCTTTTCCATCGGACAATATCTGTTCCTGACTCATTTCATCTGGATGTTTAACATGCAATAACTTCTCATTCTCTTAGCAATTATTCAGATGGTTTTAAAGCTAAAACATTTCCTTAGAAGTACAGAAAGTAAGGAAGAAAATAAGAAGTTAACATGATAAGAGTAGGGTCAACAAAAATCATAAGAAATGTGGGAAAGGCTTGCTAGAGGAAGAGATGAAAAACCCGAATGCAGGATCGTTTTGCCTCAAGCAGAATCCTTGGCAGGTATGTCATGCATGCAGGAAATGAGGAATCTGACAAAACCAGTGCTGTCCTGAAAACAGCACAGGGTGTTACAGTAGAATTTCAGTACACGTGTGCCACTAGCGAACACGGAACAGAAGTGTGGATTCAAATCACAGCAGCAGAGGTTTCATCCCAAGAAGGCAGAAGCCTTTATTTCAGGGTTTTCAGCCCCTTTTATAAGGTGCTCCTGTACAGGTTTAACATGATTGGTAAAGGGAACGCCTCTCTGGTCCCATTGGTGGAACAAAAGAAAACACTCAGGACATCTGTACAACACTGTTTTGAGAACCAAAAACCTATTTACAAAAAAACAGTCCTTGAGAGAAACATGTCTCAGAAAACTTTCCTTTGGGAACAGATCAGCCACTGACAGGCTGAAAACTCTCTCAGGCTCAGAGAATCATGTTCACACACATGGGCTTCAGAAGAGGATGCATGTTTCTTGGAACATCCAGTTGAATACCTTCTGTCACAGATGAATGATAACCTGATATCATTCTTTGAACAAAGGCACTGAATTGAAAATTTCCATTAAATCTCCACAGTAGCATACTTACCACTAAGACTTTTTAACTGATATTGGTATTTCAAAGTCTTTTAAAAGAGTTTATGACTACCTGAAGCAAACACCTGCTGTCTAATCCCATAGTTTACATTTTAGGAAGCACTTAATTATCTGAAACACATCAGGGAAAAAATATAGCTACTGCATAAAATAGTAACTAAAGATTTCTTCTCACACCAGAAAAGGAAAGTCTTACTGTTCCTCTGCCCCAAGTCCTGGGAGTCTGTATATTTCACTTTGCACATGGAGGAGTCACAGGAGGATGGGACTTGTAATATAGCAGAGGAACATTTTGTCTTGTAAAGAACATGGAAGAGGCAACAACAACAATAGACACACTCACATAACCCCCTATACCCCCTATCCAATGTATATTTTTAAGTAGTGGGTTGACCCTGGCAGGACACCAGACACCCACCAAAACCTCTCTATCACTTACCTTCACAACTGGACAGGGAGGAAAAAAAATAACAGAGGGTTCATGAGTTGAGATAAGAACAGAGAGCTCATTGTCCAAATACCTTCACAGGCAGAACAGACTCAAATGGGGGATATTCATGAAACTTACTATTAACAAAATGAGAGCAGGATAATGAAAAGTAAAATATATCTTAAAAACACCTTCCCCCACCACCCAGTCCTCCCTCCTTCCCGGGCTCCAGTTCCTTCCCCCCAGCAGAGCAAGGAGACAGAGAATGGAGGTTGTGGTCGGTTCATTCCACATAGGTTCCCTTTCTCCAGTGCGGTGTGCCTCCTACAGGAAACAGTTCTTCAAGAATTTCTCCAGTGTGAATCCATCCCATGGACAACAGTTCTTCACAAACTGCTCCAGTGTGGGTCACTCTTCCATGGGGTGCAGTCCTTCAGGCATAACCTGCTCCAGTTTGGGTTCCTACAGGGTCACAAATCCTACCAGGAAACCTGTTCCAGCATGGGCTCCTCTCTCCATGGGTCTGCAGGTCCCTGCCAGGAGCCACAGGATCACAGCCTCCTCTCAGGCACCCCCCTGCTCTGGCATGGGGCATCCTCCATGTGCTGCAGGTGGATATCTGTATCCCTGTGTCCTGTGGGCTGCGGAGGCACAGCTGCTTCACCATGGTCTTCACCACAGGCTGCAGAGGAATCCTCTGGTCCTGGTGCACCTCCTGCCCCTCCTTCTCCACACTGCTGCTCCTCTCATACATTTTCACTCCACTTGTCTTTGGCCACAATTGTATCTGTACAATAACTTTTTTGTTCTTTATCCTTGTTAAATATGTTATCACAGAGGGGTTCTCATCATTTCTAATTGGCCCAGCCTTGACCAGCGGCACATCAGTCCTGGAGCTGGCTGGCATTGGCTCTGTTGGACATGGAAGAAGCTTCTGGCAGTTTCTCACAGGAAACCTGGGATCAAGAGACAAAACATTTCCAAACAATATTGAGAGTGATAAGATAAAAAGCAGCTCTTAATTGAAAGCTCTCCGGTGTGCACAAATATGGCTGTATGCACACAAAGCCAGACTGTGAGAAAGCACAGGAAAAGTACCTGAAGCTATGCAACTGTATATTAAAAATCTACAGAGCTAAAAATATGAAAAAGGCTAAAAATATTTAGGCACCAAAGCCGCCTCTGTAGCCCCCCTGCTACCAAAACCTGGCCATGCAAGCCCAATACAACTTCCTTCAGCAATTATTATATTTGATAGTTAAATGATTAATACTGTACATTATATGGTTACTGATTAATAAGATTACTTGGCTTTCTCAAGTAAGATCACTAAAGTGTAAAAGAAAAAAGTGCCAAAAACATTCACCCTGCTCTAACCCCTCTGGGCACTGTCCAAATTCATACTGTTTAAATGATGGTCCATAATGGTTTGGCTTGGAAGTGACCTTCAGGATCATCAAGTTCCAACCCCACTGCCATGGGCAAGGACACCTTCCACTACACCAGGCTGTTCAGAGTCCCATGCAGCCTGGCCTTGAGCACTTCTAGAGATGGGCTAATCACAGCTTCTCTCAACAATCTGTTCCATCCTCACAGTAATGAATTTCTTCGTATTATCTAATGAAAACTTATTGTCTTTCAGTTTGAAGCCATTCCCCTTTGTCCTGTCATTCCCTTTTGTCTATGTCACTATATGCTCTTGTAAACAGTGTCTCCATCTTTCTCATAGGCTCCTTTCAGGTACTGGAAGGCTGAAATTAGGTCATCCCATAACCATCTCTTCTCCAGGTTGAACAACCCCAATTCTTTCAACCCTTTCCCATGGGAGAGGTGCTCCAGCTCTCTGATCATCTTGGTGGCCTCCTGTGGACTTGCTCCTACAGGTCCATGTCCTTCCTGTGTTGGGGCCCCAGAGCTGGATGCAGTTTTCCAGGTGCAGTCTCACCAGAGTGGGGCAGAGGGGCAGAATCCCTTCCCTCACCCTGCCTGCCATGCTACTTTGGATGCAGCACAGGATACAACTGTGTTTCTGGAATACAAGTGCACGCTGCCAGCTCATGTACCCAAGTCCTTCTCATCATGGCTGTTCTTCATCTGTATCAAGCCCTCTCAAATGCCAATGTGAGAATTTCAATGGGTATCACAGATTTTTCTGCACAACTTACAGTTCATGGAGAGATAAAAAGTCCTGGTGAATGACCAGAGCTTTATTGATCCACACTATCATTCTTATTTAAAAATACATAAAACCAGCTGTTTGATCTGTCCTCTGTCTTGAGACAATTTGTGAGCAATCTGTAGTACAAATGAATGGAACATCATGAGACTAAAAGAATTACATGAAAAAAATACAGAACGTGAAAAGTTCAAATAATGAACTTGGAGCCAAAGGAAAAGTATCACTTGAAGAGAAAGAGGTTTTCAGAGTGCAAACTTCATGTATACAAATACTTAAGTTAAAGGAATATTTTAAGACATAGCACAAGATTTGTGATGAATTGTTGAGAATTAATATTTCTGCAAATCTCCAAGAAAGAAGAAAAGTGCTAGAAAAGCCAGTGAGCTTAAAGATCTATGAGGCTATTGGACATTTCTGGCACATCTTCAGGTGTATTTATATCACAAACAAAATTTGTTCCCTGGTGTCTGCACAGTGAACCTTATCTCCCTGCTCTCTCCATGGTTTCCCAATCCTCTCGTCTCATCCATAAGCTGGAACAAAAGGCATAGAGCAGAAGATAATGCTATTATGAACATTTTAATCTGCCTCTCTTTTTTCCCACAGCATATCCCCAAAAAATCCTGCCCTCTTTTCCTCTGCTCACTGCCATTTTATAGCTTCACTTTCCACTGCCAGGCATTTGGGCATGCTTATGTCTTTGCTCTCCCTGGAGCATTCAGTGAGCACGTGAACAGTTTATCAACTATTTTGATAAATATTTAGAAATTTGATGAATGGACAGACTATAACACCAAAAAAAGTTTAGAGAAGGAGTTAGGAGTTGTGGGGACTCCTAACTCCTAACTCTTACTATAGGAGTAAGAATTTGCTAAGAACTTGGAGAATTTGGGAAGGTGAATGGATAGGGTCTTTGAAGCAAGTAGGGAAGGAGGACAAAGAGAGAACTCAACTGTCAAGTAGTTGCTGGGTCAGGTATATTTTTATGAGCCAGTTCTACATAAATAGTCCAAATAATCCTGAATAATATGCAGAGTCCTCTTTTTCAACAAAGACCTTAAATAATTATTGAGGGTTTTCTTCACAGAAAGCCAAAAAATACAATATAAGAGAAATGGAGCTGACATTTAACACTGACATATTTAGTTGGTTCTTTATGAATAATTTTTTTAAAAAACTGTTACGCATATGAATGCACCTTTATATTTTTGGGTAGTGTTTCCTTTAAATAATTACCATATATTTTATGAATTTTCTCATTCATTTCTTTTATTTTTTTTTAGTATTAAGCCAGGTGTTTATAGATTAGCTAGTTTTTTTTTACTAAGTGTACTGCTCCCTCCCTGTCTGTAAAGTGAGATGAGAGCTTGATGTTTATGTGGTTAAACACGATTTGTGCTTCCTGCCTTTGAGGCACAGCCATAGATCACGCTGTGTTATTTATCTTGCTTACTCTAGCTTTTTGTGATGAATTATTAAAATATGCCTGGAAGCATGGAGCCATTTGGAAGAAGGGTCTTACTGGAGAGTAGAGCAGATAAAAGCACTGAGATAAAACAAGCAACTCTGTCACCAGCAGACACAAGCAATATTGCAGAGAAGAAAGAGACCGTTTTATCGGTCAAATTCTGCTTACAGCCACACTAGTGAAACTCCATCTAGTTCAGTGAATACAGCTGGCTGCTTGAACTCGTCAGCTGCTTGGAAAAGAGTATAGTGACTATCCAAAGGCAAAACTGACACATGAAGCATGGAAATGCAGTTTACATTGTTAGTATACCTGCAGCAAGATGGCAAGATGACTGTAACAAGAAAGTAGTCTGGGAAAAAAAGTCCTTCTGCGTCTGAAGTCTTCATACAGTTTCTTTTCAACTCAAGAGAGGTAAAGCAGTACAGGATATGTCTCCCAGCAGAAGCACATGAATGGTCCTGTTATTGTGTTGAGTGAAAATATTCCCAGCTTTTGAAGTAATCAGAGAAGAATTTCTGTGTCAAATATTGTTACCACTAAGTTTGTAATTCTCCTTTATTTTATTTTGCTAACTACAACTAATTTTGAAAAACTTAAAAGTAATACAGGAAACTTTTGCAAACAATATGTCTCAGATTTTTAGACAAATCTCAGGCAAAAATGCTCAATTATTTTTAAGAAAAAGAAATGAAAAAGAAACACGTTTTTATGCCCTATTAAACCAAATTCACACAGAAGCCCTAAAGCTTGCAGCAGAACAAGAGACTTTGAAAGACAACTGACAAGAGATAAGTATCTGCCTTTCCATAGTTCCTAAACATCTTACTCTATTATGCAGCTATTAAAATGAAGTTTGCATATGCTGAAGTAACACAGGTCAGAATTTAGCAGTAAATTTGCCTTCCCTGACTGTATTCCTGTACTGTTTAAGACATGCATAGCCAGCACATTCACTACATTCATGGTACCCCAAGAGGAAGTTACGTATTATGTTCTCTTAAGGGAGGGGAGACGCTTTTTCTCCCCCACATTCTCCAGGTCACTTCTGGACTCCAGCTTCCAGGAGATAATTTGATGCCTATCCATAATTAAAACATGCCTGGAGAGAAGGAACAGAGTCAGGGGCTAGAGCATGAAGAAGCAAAGACAACAGCAGATCATCAGAGTGGAATCAAGAAGCAGAAGACAGCTTGTGGAAAAAACTACAGGAAGAAAATAGAATGAATAAAGGTAGGGGAAAGAACTGAGGAAATTACTTGGAATAGTTTTTTGGTTTGTTTTTTTTCCACCTGGTGATAGCTGACCATCACTATATTCTACATGAAAGTGAGCTCTGAATAGGTCTGAGAAGGACATGGGTATTTTTACTGATTGAGCAATCAGGTGAGCTGGACAGGAAGATTTCACTGTCAAAATACAAGAAGATTTTCCATGAAGCTGAAATGAAATCCAGATCCCCTTGGGATTAGGCAATAGCTCAGCAGGATTTCAAGGATCACAGTTTTGGATTTAACTGTGTAAGTGCTGTTCAAATGGCCATTTCAATATTTGTAAACTTCAGCCTAGCCCAACAAACCTTTTCCTTTCAACACTTCCATAGATCTGATAAAATTAAGAAAGCCATGAAATTGTGAGTGGGAGTCATAATATGTCAAGTAGAATTGCAGGAAGAGTAATAACAGGACAGTATTGTCTGAAGAGAAAATTTTAGAAAGCTTTCAAAATCCAACAGTGCCAACAAAAATATAGCTCCTTTTCAATAACAATGTGAATATGAAAATAATTTTTGGTGGTAGTACCTTAACACTAATGTGAACTGCATCTTGATGTGCTGTAACACATGCAGTGTGTAACATTAATTCCCAGCTTAGTGAATCATACATATTTCTCTTCTGTCAAAGGTAGCAGTAAAACTGGATAGCTAATTCTGTACAGCCTTACTACACAACCTTACTTACTACAGATTTTAGATACAATGAGGTACCACATTAAAATATTTAATTACCTTGTGAACTTTCTAAAAGTTTCTTGAGCTTCTCTTTATAACACCAGCTTATGAGGTGTGCAGCTGGAGCCTCTTTGGAATGCAGAAACAAAGGGAAAACTGACAGGTAAATGAAACACATGCAGGTGTTAAAAATGAAACACATGCAGGTGTTAAACAAAAATACAATAACACCTTGGTCACAGTGTGGCTTTCAGAATCTGCATGGCAACTTAGAGATGCTCTCACTAAACTAATATGCTTTAAGTTAAATTCCCTGGAACCAAATAAATTGCATTGCAAATTTTTACAGTAAATTAGAGGCAAGTCAGTTAGCATAGGCATTTAGTTTAATTAGCTAAATTCAACAGTTAGCATAGGCATTTAGTTTAATTAGCTAAATTCAACAATTTGAAAATACTGACAAAAAACCTAGGCATAATTTCTCTGTGAGGTTTACTGCAAAAATATGAATAATGAAAGCTAAGCAATTAGATTCCCAATTTAACATATTGCATGTAAATCTTCAGGTGTATACAGATATGTAAATAATGCTGCTTCTATGCAGTTAGGCTTCAAACATACTCTTTGCTAGGATGTGCTTGCTGCCATTATTATATTCCTCAAAAATGTGCCTTGAATTTTAGTCCAAAACCTGTTAAGATTCTAAAGAGGCTGCAAACAGATCACATCTCAGAATAAGTGTTAGTAGTAGTGCCCAACACCCTGAATTCACTGCAGGTTTTTTTAGCAATAGTATTTTTCAGTCAGCTTATGTAAAATTGTGCAAATGTAGAACTTTATTTGATGATAGAGTTCCAAGGGGTTACCTTTACTAAGCTGGAAAATCACCATTAAGATGAAGAAATCAGTCTGTCAGCAGAATATTCAAAACTTATTCAAAAAACGGGCATCCATAGTTGATTTATTCAAGTTTGATACTGCTCTTTTGCCTGTCTGAAATAGAGACAGAAGAAATTGAGTGAAGCAGAAGAAATGGAGTGCAGATAAAAGGAGCGGGGGAAAAAAAAAAGGTTCCATGTGGATTGGATAGAAAATTTAACATAAACTTTGCTGATAGGCATTCTCCCCAAGGAGGACAACCTGAGATACTAGATATGATGCATGTCAGCAGGATCTCATGAGGAAATCAGGCCAGGGCTCCCAGCTGATGAGAGAAACTATTACAATTCTGTCTCGAATATCTAAGTTAAATTTGGTTTCTTTTCCTTTCACAGTGATGTTTGTACAGACATTTGTATCCTTGCCTATGCTGGGAAATATAAATGGTCATTTTCTTGTTGCATCTTTCCTTAGCTCAAACCCTACAGACAATTTCAAGATGATGATTTTCCTCTTCCAAACATATTGAGAGACTAAAAATAGCAGTCCCAGAGCCCAGTGCCACAGCTTTCTGACATAAAGGTCCAACATATCGAAGAAGACTAAGATTTTTTTTTTAATATCAAGTCTATTGGATTATATCTTTTATCAAAGGGAGCAGGAAAGAAGTGGGGCTAGTCACTGTCACAAAACTTTTCCTTCCCACATACAGTTAAATGTTTGAACCCTAAAGGTTCAAAGAAAGTTTTGTAACGTGACTTGTTTAAAAAAGACTTTTTCTGAATATTTTATGTGTTTATATTTACTGTGAGATAACCTGGAGCTCTTGATTTATGTTGTGTTTATCAAGGTAAGGAGAGATTTAAACTTTTCAGGATTTTTCTTTTCTTCCCATTTTTTGACAGGCAGAAGTGCATTCAAACAAGCAACATTTAATTCAGTCACTTTCTGCAAAATATTGGTTTGATGGCATATACATGACTGAGTGAATAGTTGTTTATAGTTTTCTGTTAAACATTACAGGGCATGAATAGTGCAAAGTTGTAGTTAGTCTCTCTTGCCTGCCAAATGTTTTGTTTGAAAGAATAACTTATCTCTATCTATATTCTTCTATATAACTTGGAAAGAAGTTATATAACTTCTTTCCAAGAAAAGAAGAAAATAATTCTTTAGAAATAATAAATGCATAATTTTATACATTATTGGCCACCCTTTTACACTCTATTATTTGTACAAAAAAGATGCAATTTGAAGAGGGTTTGGGGTGTTTTTTTGAGGTTTTTGTCCTCTGCATTGTTAAAGATAAAATCCAAATTATGGATATTTTTGTCACCTAATAAGATCCTGACTTTGCTGGAAGCAGAAATCATTATTCTGAAAATCCATAACCAGTGCTTTAGTATTATTCCCTCTGGATGTTTTTCCTCTCAGTATACTTGCAGTTAGACTTATAAAACACAATAATACCCAAAAAAGTCACCAGACATCTTTTCTCCTTCTTTTCCTTCAAAGGATAGATTGCATCTAAGAAATTATCTTCACATTTCTAAGTTGCACATGCACGTCTATATTTTCATTTTCTAACTTGAGAAAAATGACAATAACTCTTCTGACTACAGGGAAGATGAGAACATTTTGGGCAAATATTCCCGGACATATTGGGGATACATATTTCACAGAAAGGCCTTTTCAAAAGGAAATAAAAAGGTAATAAGCAGATTGAGCCAAACACGTTAATGAAGGAGTATTGAAGTTGTTGTTACAGTTGTCCTACAAACCAGTAAGCTTTAGTTACTGTACAAGTCGTGTGTAATTATATTTCTTGCAGACAACTATATCACAAAAAATAGGACTTCCTCTGTGAGTAATCAAACTGTTTTACATAAGACCAGTTATGTTGAAGACAAATATTTTTTATTTTTTTTTAATGAAGAGTAGTATTTGGTTCTATGGAGTCTTCATTTGATGGCTTCTGTAACTTTACTGGAATTATATGGTTTTTACCAGAGCAGAACAAGGATTGGCTGCATTTCCACTGTTTTTTTCCAGGAAACCAATCAACCTTTAAAGAAAATGCAGGCCCCAATAATTAATTTCCTGACAGGACCAACGGCAACTTCATGTTGGAGTTTTGCTTACTCCTGATGGGATATTTCATTGCTGAGTTTGCTAATGCAGCAGCAGTTAACAGTAAAATTTTATTAAAAACTTCATTGATGTCAATAGATACAAGCTCAGAGCAAGGACTTGACCAGAAAGAAGGGTCTCCAGCCTACCTACCCTCTCCAAAACTACCACTTTTTCCTGTATTCAATTCCAACTGCATTAATCCTCTCCAGAGCGCAGATAAGGGCGCAGGGCGTTGATGCTCCTAACCAGTTAATTCTACTATTCCTCTAAAGATGCAGTTCACAAGTCTATTTTTCATTCAGTTTCATATTCAATGGGAAGCAATCAGCTTTAAAAACAGGGGGATTGAACATTCTTTTTCAAAGAAACAGACACACTAAATTATCATTGCTTTAGACTCCAAGGTATAGAGCAGAGTATGTTATATCTAAGTTTGTACTGTAATCCAGCATTGTTGCTCAAACTGCTAATTTTTGTTGGACAAGAACAAAAATAAATCAATCTGACAGTGGGCTGAGTAAAAACCTCATATTTCTTGAATGACAGGACCAAATATTATGTGGTGTTTGAATATTGTTACTGTTACTTTCTAAATAAATTCCCTACCTTCTGATAGCACTCAATACTCATTTCCTTGAGTAAATAAACCTGAATAAGCATCTAAAAATGTTTTGCCAGGAAAAAATGGAAAAAATTTTCTATGTGCAAATATGTATATAGATTTAAATTTCTCCAAGCAAGTATCTGAGCAGAAGAGTGGAGCCAAGCTTTATACAGTGGCACTAAAAACGTTTTTTCTAAATAAATCCTTGTCCAATGGAGATTTTTGACTGAAGATTTACTGGTGCTGAGCCATGTGCTGAAGTTTACAACCATATAAATGGCCCACATTCATTTTGGTAGGGAACCCTTTTTTTTCACAGGAAGGTGTCCAAAGACAAAGAGCAAGAGACACAGCATTTCTGTAACATATGGCTGAGCTTCCAAACAATTTCATATGCTGGCTGATAGTTTGTAACTCCTGCCTTGCTCAGCTTAAAAAATACATGGTCAGAGAACTGCTGACATAGCACATGAAAAGGAATAGAAGAGTAATATGTCACTACCAAAAAAGTTCTCACAGTATGCCATGTACTTTTCTGAGGGTGTGATCCAGTACATAGCCCAATCTGTATTAAAATATTCAAATGGCCTGTGGAAACTGTAATAAATAATTTTTAAAACAATTCACTAAAGTTATAAATGAAATCTACATCTCGGAGATGAATGATGTGTGGTTCAGATTCCCAACTTTTAATGCAATCCATCCATCAAAGCTTAAGAAATGGTTTCCCTGCTTGATCACAGCAGAAATTCTTTGTTTCTTTTTCATCTCTGCTGGGGATTTTTTCCCATTCCATTAAGAAAGCTTAATTCCAGCTTGGGCCATTTGATTTTTTTTCTTTTTAGTATCTTTAAACCTCTGTTGTAATGGAATCAACAGAAGTACTATCTAATCATATTGTTCTGCTATTTATGAAGGTTTATAAATCTCTCTGCAAGTAAATTAGTGTCATATCAAACTGCTGAGCCTGAATTTTGCTGGCAGAGACAGATATAGGGCACTTTCCTTTAGCGGGGAACAGCAAATCCTGTTTTAAAAATAATTCCTCTCTCTTCCCTCCTAATCTAGGGTATTCAGGAGTAGGACTCTTATGTGGGTCAGCTACAGCTAAGATGAAGCCCTCTAAGCTGCTGTTTCACAAAGTATATATCAACTATTCATTTTAACATAATCATTACTGCTAATTTAAAAGCTGTAGAATTTAAACTCCTGCTAATATAATTATATTAAATCTTACTGCTTTTCACAAACAGAAAAAAAACCCCCAAAACTCTTCAATTACTTTCAACAGAAATCAGCTTCAGTGCAAGAACATTCAGTGATACCATAACAATAGCAAATCAAAATCTTTCCTTACACAGTGAAGCCCATAATGGAATGTGCAATCCCAGAAACAAAGAAAATTTGCAGAAGTGCTCACTGAGCCACTTTCCCTCATTTATCAGCAGTGCTGGCTAATCGGAGAGGAGACAGCAGGGGTTTGTGGAAGGCAGGTCCTGCTTGATCAACCTGATCTTCCTGTGACAAGGTCACCCACTTAGTGGGTGTGGAAAGGTTGTGGATGTTGTCTACCTGGGCTTTGGTAAAACCTTTGGTGCTGTTCCCTACAGCATTCTCCTAGAAGCAGTTGAGTCACCATCAGGTTTAGTGATGCACTTGGCAGTGCTAGGCTAATGGTGGGAATCAATGGTCCTTAAGGTCTTTTCCAGCCTAAACAATCCTGTGACCTAGGATTCAATAAGCTACTATTAAATGAATATTTAAACTTGCTATTTACATGTAAGTATTTGCTGTTCAAACTCTTCCAAACTAAATCCTACAACTTTTTTTTTTTAATGTGAAATGCAGAAAATTAATTCTAAAATAATATATTCTCAGATGTGCAATACACACAGCCACTCCCCAGCTACTTTCACAAAGGTTAAAAATTCACTTGGCTGTTGTAGGAAAATAATAAGCTTCAATGGACTGGTTTTGCAAAGAAATAGAATGTTTAGGTTGGGTTTTAGTTCTGAGTCTTTATGTTTGCTTTGTTTTTTTAAATGTCTGCTAATGTTCTGGTATGTTTTGGGTTGTTTGGCTTTGTATCAAGTTATGAAAATTCTACAGTCACTTCTGAAAATACTTTGCCAGCCTTCACATGGTTTGTATTTCTAATGTTTTGCCACTGTACTGTTGTAATAGCCAGTCCTACTTTATGTGGCTTAATAAATACCTTGAAATGTTTGCTTTTTTTACAGGATACTTGAGAATTTTTTGAGTTCTCAGGTCCCCTGACATTGAAGTTTCTAATGAAACTTCAGCATTCCTCCAACATATGATCAAGACTGAGTAGTCAGAACAAGAATATTTATGACTTTTTCAAAACAGGAGCTAGAGAAGAAATAGTTCCAATTTTTCAACTGCTTATTCCACATACTAACACTGAGGGAAGTCTATCATATGGAGAGAAATAAATTGTATTAATCTTAAATGGTTTATATAGCTGATCTAGGGTTTTTTACCTCAGTTAAAGGCATTTCTTTAAATAAAGCACCCTGGTAATCATATCCTTCATTCTGAATTTAACTAGGATATCACAGGAGAGAGTTAACGAATATAATGCCATTGACTTAAGCAGAAGTAGGGCCAGGCATTGTATATTTAAAATAAAGCAAAAAATATCTCACAACATTACTAATTATACCCTGGGGAAGACTGTGTCTGTGAAATCTATAGGCAGTGAATTCTGCTTTATATTCCAGCCATTAAAGTTATGCTGATTAATAAAAAAATAAAATAAAAACATTTGAATCCTTCTGCAAAAACTTCAGCATTTCAATTACTTCTCTACACATGTTTATGTGAAAGATGCACAATACTTTTGTTATTGTTCTGTTTGATGTTGGTGTGTTGCTCCTCTCCTAGATCCCTGAGGGAGATTTCAAGTTTTGAGATAGCAAACTTCACCACACTGTGCATGCCACCCACCTCAGCTGGTGGGAAGTAATTTTATATGCTACATTTGCTTTAATGATTATGAATACTTAATAATATGAAAATCTATTCTATTTGGGAGATAAGGTGATTATATGCAAACCCAATGCATTAAATGTTTATAATTCTATAAAGCTTTTTTTTTTTTTTTAAAAAAAAGAAAAGATAAATTAAAAAATAGGTCTTTGTCTTCAGGACAAACAAAACTGAAGAGATTAAGCAGGGCTATTCCCTGACATTAGAGACAGAAAAGAACAGATTCTGGTTTTTTTTTAAAAAAAAATTGTTTTAGGAATTTAAATCTTACTGTATTCCTGTACACTGAAGGAATGGTTTTGCTTTATAGAATTTCAAAGACATATTTTCAAAAATATGATCCAAGAATTTTTATCACAAGTTTTCCCTTGAAAACTATTGGATCTGTAGTAACTTGAGTACTTTTGAGGCATCACACCCAAGGGCTACCTTTTACAATAAAGCCACCAAATTCAAAGAAAAGAATAATACTAAACTATACTAAAGAAACTACAAATTTTCATATAGCTGAGGAAAATAGATACAGTAGAACCAGCCCTCCCATTCAGATATTCAAAATGGTTCGACTGATAACCAGGAAAGTTAAAAGTTTCTGTGTTTCCTGATCAGCCAAAGCACCACAGTTTCTGATACTGAGAAATAGATTAAGTGCAGTTGCAGGAGAGCTGAACATCCAAAACTACAAAATATATAAATGAAGAAGGAAAAACAGGGAGTACAGCTAATATGAGAGATTATTGATAAAGATAACAAAACAGGGCACATAGAAACAGAGGTGCAGTTGACTCAAGGTACTGGAAATTATGTGTTTCAAGCATGATTAATATAAACTGGGAGAGGGCCAGCAATTGAAAGAATAGTACTAAAGTTCAGTAATGACCCTCATGAAGACTTTTCCTTCAGGACCAGAATAGCAACTATAACACAGTGATGCAAAAGTATGGAAAAGTAAAGTGTAAGCCTAAGGAGCAGGACAGTCAGGCCTGAATAGAACTCACTAGAGTTCTATTCAGGCTATTAGGGAAGGAGACTACTGGTGGGAAATAAGCTGACCTTTCATCTTCTGAGAACTGTTTGATTGATTAATTATTCAGTGAATTCCATAATTGCACTAGAATGTTCAGATATTTTAGAAAATGCACACAGAATAGCTGTTTGTGTCCACTTTCTAAACTTGTGTGAGAGTAGAAAAGCATTACTCTTTGATTCTATACTATGAGTCCCTGTCTCAAGTTTCTGGATGGGTTGTATGCTATCAGTTACTCAGGTATCAGTGCCGCCAGTCAGTGTCCAGAGTTGTCACAAACAGAAGTGCCTTTTGCTAGAATGTGTCATTTATCTCAGGTAAGATGTTTGTGGAAGCCAGGAGACCATGCAGTGCAGGCTCACCTGATGTTCTAGGACAGCTATGCTGCTTCTGTCAGCTACACAATTCAGCTTTTCCTCAAAGGTTTTACCCAGAAGTAGGGTCACAGGTGCAAACGAAATAAAAACTGACGATTTCCTTCAGAAAATAAACAACAACAACAAAATAAAAATTAAAAAAAAAACAACCAAACACTGACCAAGAAATTACTGTCTGTTGTTTGCCAGTTTGAAAAGGTTTTGTTTCATAGGGTAGTGTATATTCCATTTTCCTCACTCATGGGGACCTGCCATAAAAAGCACAGCTGCTAATTTGCAATACATACTGACATCATGGAAAATGGCAAATATTCCCCATCTTTCCAAATTCATGTTTTGTCACTTAACAGTTTTGAAACTGAGATATAACAAACAAATAAGAGATTATGGCAATAAAATTTTATAACCTGGCTTCAATGAGAAAAAAGAAATAAATAAAAGACTGAGCATAAGGGACTAGGCTATTTTACATTTTAGATTGCTGTTTACAATAATGAAGAAGAAACAATGGAGCAACATTTTAATTCATTTCATTTCAGAAGCTTTTAGCTTCACAGAACATTAAAAGCAGTACTTTATCTCGAACTTTACTCACATTGACACAAATCTGAGTTCACATGCTACCTTATTCTTCACTTTCCCTTTTAATCTGTTACAAAAATTGTATTCAATAAATGTAAACAAATTACTGTCTTTTCAGCTTGGCTTTATTATATCTTATCAAACATTTATTATTTATTTGGTTGTGGAAGTTTGATTTCACAATATTTCTTTCAGCTGCAACTATAGAAATAATTTCTGAAATTTGCCTTTTCTCTGACTTCCTTTTAAAAAGTAAACATTCCTTTTTTATATTTTTCATTTTGTTCCCCTAATTTTCAAACTTTTGTGGACTTGAACTTCATTTCTTAAAAACAGTCCTAGCACATACAATATGCAATTTATTCAGTAGAAAAGGTTGTTCTGCCTTTTTCAATCTGATGAATGAATTGAAAGTAAAGCAATAATCCTAAATCAGTTCTGTGTTTAACCTCTTAAGTACATACAGTCACACCTTTCTGAAAACAGATAGTGTGTGCAAAACTAGGGACACACTAAATCACAATAAATTCTTCTCTTTATGAAAAAGTTAGTTACATTAGACTGTTCTACGTTAAAGGCCTACATTAAACTGTTCAAGAAATGTAGTTTAAATGTCTTTCCCTTGCAGATGAAACAGACTTTAAATCATCTTTGCATAAGGTTATAGGGAGTTCAGCAGTTGCAAGGGGCCATGGATGTTAGATTGTCACAGTTCTTCAAAGCCACACTGATCAGAGCCTCTCAAGTAATTTATCCATGCCCTGCTGATTCCAGGAGCAACCAGCTCAACATGCATCTCTTTTCCGTGTTCATATGTCAAGATCTACAAGAGAGTCTCTGAATCAGAGTAATCCACCCTTGTCTGTACTCAGGGCATCTGAAAACAATTTGGATAGTATCTTTTATCTTCAACTCATTTTATTCTCTTGATGCATAAAAAAGGCTATGGTCACTCTCCTACTCACTGGTGAAAGGTGCTTTTGGGAACTGGAGATTTTGTCTTCCACAGGTATGTAAATGTTGCTCTGTTATACCAAAAGTTCCTGCTCTCACATAACAAGATTTTTCAATAAGGTATAGAATTCTTTTCTCTCCCACTGGAAACTCCTTGCTCCTCCTAAAAGTTCTTTCTCTGAAGTTGCTGTTCCTGTACAGCTTATTATTTCAGCCCAAACACAGCAGTAATCTATTAGGTGAAAAAGTGCAGGCTAATTGTTCCCTGCAAAATTTTTCTTTAGGCAAATCACAAGGGATTAAAAAAAAAAAAGAGGGAACAGATACGTGGTAGGGAAGATACATGTAAATTCAAATGTTACAGACTTAATTTAAGATTTATAGGTAATTGTAATTAAATTAATAACCCTGCAGTGACAATGACAACATACACCTGTCAATCAGATTTTACTCAAAAACAATGCACATACATTATTGCAAAGATGACAAATGGATCAGGTTAGATTGCCACTTCATTTTACTTTACTTAGCTCTGGAGCAAAATACCATTATCTCAGGAACATCCAACAACTTCAGTGGCAACAATCCAAATGTAAAGTTTGACCTACACTGATCAAGTCTGTGTACCTCAACCTTCAGCATATGCTCAGAATTCCAGTGATGTCTTTGAGACTCACAGTGCACATGTGACCTGGAAATGTACTGCAGGTTTGTCACTCATACTTAGAATAAAATGGAAAAATACCAAGCTTTTACTAGATATTTTTAATGTCGAGGTAAAAATTATTTTAATGCTTCCCAATTCTGTCAAAATGTTTCAGGAAGAAACTACTTCTGAGAGTGACAAATGCATTGATGCTGTCACACACACTGGAAAAGAAATTTGTAAAAGTTTCCTGTCCTTCAGTAGTTTGTAGGTGAAGACTGTTAATCTTGAAAATTTAAAGTACTGCATTTGATGGAGTGAACAGAATAGATATAGAACTGTCTCCTGAGAGTTTCCTATCTTCGCAGCTTAAAGCACAGTTATATTCTCGCAGAACACTCCATTTTGGCTCAAATCATCTCTTATCTTACAGCATTTCAAAGTTTAACTGACTAACAATACCCTGACAGAGTTTAAGGAAATGAACACACTCATTGCTTCTTTCAACAGTAAAATGCCAAGCCAAAAATCAGCTGTCAGTGCAATTTCACTGACTTCCAGGCATGCATTTGATACGCTGTAAAATACCAGAATGGAGCTAAGTTGTCTCACAATTTTTAGAGCTTTAGCTTTTAATATTGTTACTAAAATTTTCTTACCTTTTTCCTCATTAGTCACATAATGTGCCAAAGATCTCAAAGCAGGGTTATTTTATGAAAACCTTTATAGAGGAGGCAAGCTACACCAAACTACATCGACATCTTAAAGCAAAAGTTGCCCTAAGGCTCAAGATCTCCCTTGCTGCAGTTCTGGAAGATGACCCTGATTCATACCTTATGCACTTCCAGAAGGTAGGATAAAGCAATGCAGAGAGACTAGACTTGCCCTGCCAAGATGGCCAGATGTTGTCACAGTTATGGGACTGTTGTATCCACTGTTAAACCTGGCAGTCAAGCAAAAAGTAAAAGCCAGTTCAATCACTCATCTGGTCCCAATTGCATGATCCAGCAATCCATGCAAGACTGGCACAAAACAAAGGAAAAAGAGCTCATAAATCAGATGGGCAGGTTAATTTGCACTTTGCACTTAGACTGATCACTGTAAGCATTTCCATACACAACAAAACTTGGTTTTAACTCAGTCCACTTCTAATACTCCTCTGCATCTTTATACCTGTTTAATCTGAAATATCCCCTTAATAGTACTTTATAGCATGGTTTTAGCATTGCTTGTGATGCTCCAAAATTTTCCTTGACAATGACTGCTGTTGTTCCCTTGGCATAACAAATTATTGTTTTAAAAGGACAGACAGAGCTGTTGTCAAACAAGTTGCAGTACTGAAAAGACGCAGAAACCAAGTTCATGTAATACTTTGAATTCAGCCACCTGTGTTTCTCTCATCACTCTACTGACAATACACCTGAATGTTTATTAACCAGTTATCACAGCAAAAAAACATAGGAAAAGGTTGTTAAGAAAAAAGGTGGAGAAAAGTTTAATTTTTATGGGAGACCATGAGTCCCGTGGAGAAAAGTTTAATTTTTATGGGAGACCATGAGTCCCAGAGTACCACAGCCGGTAAATTAATGCATAACCATAAATCCATACAATGCGTTATAAAAAAAAAATTAAGAAATCACCACATTTGAAATACAATAAACAAGTAATTTTCAGTACTTTAATACATATAATTAAATACTGTAGTAAAAGTAATTTATAGATACTTCTCTTCAGATTTTGACTTGCACCTTTTCTGATGGATCTGGATCTAAAGCCCATAGTTAATAGCCCTGACAGTGTTGTAGCCATAACTGCAAGAGAAGAATCTAGGTTTTTACTGAAACCTTAAAAGAAAGGCCAAAAAGATTGTAAAAAAATTTAGCTGAAAAAAAGATCAGACTCTCACCTAAGGAATTTAACTGATATCTTCAGGATGCATTACAGTAAAATGCCATTGATTTTAACTGTAAGGCACTGTCCTTGATTTGCAGATTAATTACTTCTCTTCCTGTAGCTGGAGTTATGTATTTGCACACCCAGACTTTTGTTGGAAGTGAGAGTACTGAAAAAGGACCTGTGTGACATTTGCAGTAGGAAACTCATTTATTACATCAGGGTCCTGGAGATAAAACCTCATATTCTGAGTTGATGAATAATGTATTTTATTTAATTTAATCATCTTAAGGAAACAAATAACAAAAAAAAAAACCAACATTAACTCCAGACATGAGAGACTGAAGGTAGTGGGGTGAAAAATACACAGCGTAGGCTGAAGAGAATTATGTGTAGTGAATGCAATGAGAGATAAAAGGAAAGTATAAAGTGGAATACATGTCATTAGAAACATCATTTATGGAGCTTGAATTTTGACAAAATGTACTGTAGAATATGCACATGGCTTTCTTTATTTTTATTAAATTAATTTTTAGACAGTGATATCATTATAAAAGAACTATCTTGAGAACATTTAAATATGATTTTGAAAGTTGCAAGGGCTCAAGAAGATGCTTAAAGTTTGAACTCCAACACAATTTTTCTCCCCAATTATATTATTAGTCTTTTAAAGGAAGAGAAAAGCTTCTTCTCTTGTAAAACAATCAATTATAGTACTCCAGACTATCTTGTTCTGCATCATGGCCCACTGGGATGAACAGGGAATGTTCTAGTGAATCACATGTCACTTGAACCCTAGAGGAAATTTCTGTCTTTATGAATCAAAGGATTAGCGAAGCCAGTAAGGACACCAAGAAACACAGATGTGAGGGCAGAAATGCCATTCTCAGTAGACATAATCTACTCTTGACTCAGAACTTGAATTTGAGCTTGCACTCCTTTCAATGAATAACATATATTTGATATGTCCATTAGATTGAAACTTTCTTTCATGGACGTTTTTTCTTGAAGAATCTATATGGATAGATTATGATGAATAGGATGAGATACCATGAATAAGGGCTCCAGTTAGATGTTCTAATTTGATTAATACTTGCATCACTCAATGAAAGACCAAGGAATTTTAAAGCTATTAAAGAAGACAAATGAGTTTCTTAGGAGTCTGAGATTCTAAAACCAAAATTTAAAAGTGTAAAAGTTTCTGCCTATTTTTCTGATGATAAAATCCCACTGTGCTCTTAAACTTCCAGCTGCCTTCTTTCTTAAAAATATTTTTATTTAGATCAGCTAGAATATAGATGTGTATTTTTTCAGTCTTCCACCCCTTATTCATTTCCTAAATTTTTTCACATCCCAATTTGCAATGAATATTTCATATACCTTCCCATTCAGAAGTTATCACATCTTGCTTTCTCTTAACTAGCTTTAAATGTAAATCAACATTGATTAGAGTAGCTAAGACTCCCTGGGCAGAAATGCAGACAAGGTTCCACTTCAGACCCCTGTGTGACACAGGAGGCCCAGCCGTGTCCTGGGGTGCATCAGGCACAGCACGGCCAGCTGGGCAAGGGAGGGGATTGTCCCACACTGCTCTGCACTGGGGCAGCCTCACCTCGAGTCCTGGGGGCAGTTTTTGGGTGCCACAATATAAGACAGTAAACTACTAGAGAGTGTCTAAAGGAAAGCAACAAAGATGGTGATGGTGAAGGGCCTCGAGGGGAAGCCATGTGAGGAGTGGCTGAGGTCATTTTGTCTGTTCAGCATGGAGAAGAGGAGACTGAGGAGAAATCTCATTGCGGCTACAACTGAGAGTCTACAAAAGGCAGAGGGAGAGGCATGGATCTCCTCTCTGTGGTGACCAGTGACAGGACCAGAGGGAATGGCCTGAAGCTGTGTCAGGGAAGGTTTAAGTTGGATATTAGAACAAGGTTCTTCACCCAGAGGGTGGCTGGGCACTTGAACAGGCTCCTCAAAGAAGTGGTCACAGCACCAAGGATGATGGAGCTCAAGGAGTGCTTGGACAATGCACATGTAATTCTGCAAGAGTCACATGGTGTGACTCTTGGGGATGGTGCTGTGCAGAGTTGGGAGCTGGACACAAGGATCCTTGTGGGTGCCTTGAAACTCAGCTTATTCTGTGATTCTGTGATTAATAGTGCCAGTAATACCTATAAGCCACATCCTCTTAAGTAAGATTTAATAATGATAAAGATCTGTTAATCTAATATTTGCATTTAACCCAAATAAATACCAAGTTTGCCTAAAAAAAACCCAAAATATCCTCTTTTCCCATGTTATGTAACCTGTAGAACAGGCTAAATATTAGAACAGGTTATTTATTAACCACTCTAGTTTTACTAGAAGTCCTCCTCATTATCATCTTTCCATCATCTGGCTTTCATTCTTTATCCAACATAATTATAACCAATTATTCATACCTTGTTATCTGAAAAGGAGTTTCTACTTTATTCCCACCATTAAGTCTCTCACATACTCTCACATCACACACAGCTGTGTATATAAAGATGTGAATAGGATGTGAAGAAGGTTAGAGCTATGAGATGCATCCCATACATTTTTAGGCTCCCTCATAAACAACTCCTATGGAATACAGAGATAAGCTCCAGCAGAATATATAGCCTTCCTTTGAAATCTATAAGAAACAAAAAGCTACTCATTAGAGAGTTCCAAAATAAAAGTACCATCAAAGTACACAGAGTGATTCAGAAACTAAACAGGGAATGAGCCAAGCCTTCATAATCAAGAACTGCCCCAAAAAGACTACAAAGTTTCTCACTCACAAGAAAATCATGTATCAAATTTTAGAAACAAAACAATTTACTTCAGTAAAGGAGCGGGAGAGACAGAGCACCACAAGCATCCCAGGTTTCTCAAACTATTACATTTTAAAAGATTTCCCTCAAGGCATCTTGTTTTTATTATTAGTATTTCATTGTATCCCCAAGCACATAAAAATTTAGGTTGGCTTCATAACATGTTTCTCAAAGTTTCTTCTTTCTTTCTTGAGCATTTGAAATATGAGTACAGCTAAAATTGTAAATCCCTTTCTCTACCATACTCTGACAGTGCCTCAGCAAGAAAAATGGAGGAAAGTTGTCTGGGTATCAGGAGAGAAAGGAACTACATACTCCAGCTGGATATGAGGGCAGTGGCCAGGTGTGACAGTGTTGGCAAAGGTGTGCAGGGTGTCAAACTTGACAGCTTTTCAGTCAGAGCTAAGGAAGAGGAAAGGACACTATTGGAAATATGGTAATTGGATAGGACATCTGTAGTGCAGAAAAATAAATACACAGTAAAAGAAAGAAAGTTAATTAGATAGAAAAATCAAATCTACCAAAGGAAGCAGAAAAAATTGGAAGGAGAAGCATCACAGTGTAAAACAAAAGCGAGGAATCTGTACATCACAAAAAAATTTCCATCAGTTGAATTTTTCTCCTACAGAGACCCTTAGATGCTTTGATCCAGACAGATCAGAAATCATACCTTTTGGATCAGATCCTTGTAGTGTGTCATTATTTGCTAGATATGCAAATTGAGGAATCAAATTATATTATTTACAGATTCATCCTTCTGTTGCTTATCTTAATATTTGTTTTGATAGCACATTTGAAGTATGTCAAAGGAATGAAAACTTGGGATTTCTTAAACAGCTACCAGCTTTATTCACGTGCAAATTAAATACTGAAAAAAAGCTTCTATCTGAAAAACAAATACCATGACTGATAAAGTGGCAGTGTTAATTCAGTACCCTTTGGAATTCAGCAGGAAAATTAGTCTTTCTTAATGTGAAGTACTCCTTCTGTCGCACCTTGGATAGAAAGAAAAAATTAGAGTTACAGACAGAAGAAATTATCCATCCATGACAACAGCGATATGTTAGGTTGATTTTAACATTTGTCAAAAGAATGGAAGTAGGATGGCACCATTCTCTGAAGCTGATGATCTGAAAACTACTACTGGATCTCCCTGGCTGATCACCCAAGACATAAATACACTCTACAAAATAATTTATCAAATATAAGTGGA